TCCTTTGAACAGAAAAGACCCTCCCCCTCACACTGCTCAGAGAGACTCAGCACGCTCAGCCCTGGCTCCCCGAGGATGAGCTCCAAGTCCGCCAGCCTCAGCCTTGCAGGGCCCAGGAGTCAAGTTTGGCCAGACTAGGGTTTGAATCCAGGCTCTGCCATTTCCCAGCAGTGGTGACTCCAGGCAAGTCGTTTTCTCAGCCATGGGCTGGGGCTGAGAGGGGGAATGGCAAAGGTGTAAAGAAATAGCAGCTGCCAACCCCCTGGCCCACAGTAGGTGCATCCCCTCCTGGTGCGGACTGTCTGCATCTGGGCTGGTCTCTGCTGGAAGCCCCTCCCTACTGAGCCCTTGCTCTGTGGGGAGACCCAGGCCAGGGCAAGGGATGTGTCTGGGAATCTGGGAGCTTCATCTCTGGACCAGACAGGGTTCGGCTAGGCTATGTGCTCCCTCACGCTGGCTGCACTGCAGTGCACTGAGGCGTCGGAAACACCATGACAAACACCCGTCTGGTTCTGCATGCAGCCAGCCAGGGCCGCTGAAGGGCAGAGGTTTTCCTGCACTGTCAACATTGTGGGCAGCTGAGCCAGGGTTCCTGCTGCTGCTGGGAGGAGCTTGGTCTGCCCGGCCAGCTGCTGTCCACATGCAGGTGTCAGTTCTTGGTGCCCTGGGACAGGGGAGCCCCTGCCCACTCAGCTTGGCTTTGGAAATAGAAGGCCCATGAAATTGCTTTTGCAAGCTCACCTCCAGTGTGTAGCTTGGGGAAGAGGATTGAGGGGTGTGGCAGAGGTAGAACTGGGTCGGGGGGTGGGGTGGTGTCTTCCAGAGTCTGGCACATATGTGCCATGTACAGGCCAGCATTACTGGGGAGATGCCCACCGCACCCCAGACCTGCCGAGTCAGGGCCTGCAGCTGATTCCTGTGTGCAGTACAGTTTAAGATGCTGCATTGGAGCATGGGCTAGGTTTGAGTCCCTGCTTCCTGTTCTCTAGCTGTGTGATCTTAGACAAGTGTCTTCACCTCTCTGAACCTCAGCTCCCTCATCTGCAAAATGGGTTTGTGGAAAAATTCTTCACCCAGGGGCCAGCAGGTGGCATAGTGATTAAGGCACTGGACTCCCATGTTGACCATGGTTCAAGACCTGGACCTGGTGACTTGAAACTCACACCGGGTGCATGTGTGTGCGTGTTCAAAAATCCTGAGAGGAGAAGGGATTGTGGCGTGGCCATCCCCCAGGGTATGATTTCTCGCTCTCTGTCTCTGCCTCTCCAGTGAGTACACACACCCTATAGCAAAAATTCCTTCCTTAAAAAAACCTAAAAATGTCACCCAAGAGGGTTAATGACCCTAATAAAGCAGATGTGTGTGTACAAGGCCCGAGTCGGGTGCGAGGGACGCAGGCCGTGTCTGCCAGCAAATGGCTGCTGCTCCTGTGTCTGGAGTACACCCTCCTGGCCGGTCTGGGGCAAGTCGCTTTCCCCTCTGGGCCCCATTTTTCCATCTGTCCAGTGGGTTTGACCCAGCCTGACCTTCCCATGCAATGGTTGCTCTAAAGAAATGGGTGTGTGTGACAGTGAGAGGCCCTGGGTCCCTTGTCCGAGGGAGAAGACGCGTCATTCTTCAGCCCATGTGCCTCCTCCTCTGCTGCTGTTGCTCTGCTGTTGCAGGGCGCGGTGGCAAGGCTCCTGGTGGCCACGCTCGGGCTCTCCCTGTGCCGCTCTGCTTCTGGCTGTGGACTCCAGCCCCTCCTCCCTCGGACATGGTTCAGACTGGGACCTGTGTTCTGGCCTTTGCCTTCCTTGAAGGGAGCCCAGGTACCCTCTCTGCTGGGTGGAGTCAGGTGAGGGTGGCCTGGGAACCTCTCCCACTGGGATCCTGTCCCCAATGGTGTGGGCCTATCCTCCTCACCAGGAGGTGGCCTAAGGCTGGACTCTGAGCCCCGCCCTGGCATACCGGATGACCGTGGGAAAATGACTTGAGGCCTCTGGGCCTCAGGGTCCCTGTTTGTACAAGGAGCGGTCCAGTGAGATGGTCCTGCCTGGTCAGGCCTTTAGGTTCCCTCCGGGCCCTCCTTTACTTCCTCCCTGTCCTCCAGCCCGGGCAGATCTGGGCCTGGCAGCTAACGTTGGGCTGTTGAAGACCAAAGAAAACGGGGAGCGGGACAGCATGCATGTCCTCCGGGAGCCCCGGCCGGGCCGACTCGTGTGGGAGAGGGGAGGAATTTTCCTCTCTGTGTGCAAACAGTATCCGTTTTCTCTTGTTTCCAAAGGCCGGTGACGTAACCGACTCTATGCCTTCCCTCTGGTCTATTTTTAGCTGGCTCCGACAGCATCCTAAAAGGCTTCCAGACCTCCCTGCTCCGAGGCCATGCAGGGAGGGTGGCCGTGGAGTGAGGAAAGAGAGAAGCTTGTCTGTCTGTCCCAGCCCGTGTCCTGCCACCAAATGGCTGCTGCTCCTGTGTCTGGAGTACACCCTCCTGGCCGGTCTGGGGCAAGTCGCTTTCCCCTCTGGGCCCCATTTTTCCATCTGTCCAGTGGGTTTGACCCAGCCTGACCTTCCCATGCAATGGTTGCTCTAAAGAAATGGGTGTGTGTGACAGTGAGAGGCCCTGGGTCCCTTGTCCGAGGGAGAAGACGCGTCATTCTTCAGCCCATGTGCCTCCTCCTCTGCTGCTGTTGCTCTGCTGTTGCAGGGCGCGGTGGCAAGGCTCCTGGTGGCCACGCTCGGGCTCTCCCTGTGCCGCTCTGCTTCTGGCTGTGGACTCCAGCCCCTCCTCCCTCGGACATGGTTCAGACTGGGACCTGTGTTCTGGCCTTTGCCTTCCTTGAAGGGAGCCCAGGTACCCTCTCTGCTGGGTGGAGTCAGGTGAGGGTGGCCTGGGAACCTCTCCCACTGGGATCCTGTCCCCAATGGTGTGGGCCTATCCTCCTCACCAGGAGGTGGCCTAAGGCTGGACTCTGAGCCCCGCCCTGGCATACCGGATGACCGTGGGAAAATGACTTGAGGCCTCTGGGCCTCAGGGTCCCTGTTTGTACAAGGAGCGGTCCAGTGAGATGGTCCTGCCTGGTCAGGCCTTTAGGTTCCCTCCGGGCCCTCCTTTACTTCCTCCCTGTCCTCCAGCCCGGGCAGATCTTGGCCTGGCAGCTAACGTTGGGCTGTTGAAGACCAAAGAAAACGGGGAGCGGGACAGCATGCATGTCCTCCGGGAGCCCCGGCCGGGCCGACTCGTGTGGGAGAGGGGAGGAATTTTCCTCTCTGTGTGCAAACAGTATCCGTTTTCTCTTGTTTCCAAAGGCCGGTGACGTAACCGACTCTATCTATGCCTTCCCTCTGGTCTATTTTTAGCTGGCTCCGACAGCATCCTAAAAGGCTTCCAGACCTCCCTGCTCCGAGGCCATGCAGGGAGGGTGGCCGTGGAGTGAGGAAAGAGAGAAGCTTGTCTGTCTGTCCCAGCATGGAGGGAGGGAAGGAACCTGCCCCAGCTCTTCCGGGAGGGAGGGGCCTGAGAGCCCAGCTAGGGCCTTCGGACTTGGGTGGTGCTGGGGAGCTCGGAGCAGTCCATTTGGAGTGCCCCCACCTGGGTTTGGGTCCCAGCCCCCATTTCTTCACTCTGCCCTTGGCCTCTGACTCTCTGCCTTGCCTTCTTCACCTGTAAGGGGTTACGGGTCACCCATATAGCACCTTCGCCGTAGGGTCAGGGGTGAGGATCCACGACTCCCTATGGGACAATGCCTGGTACAGAGTAGGTCTCAGTGAAGGGGAGCTAGTGCTGTTACTGTGGTTGTCATTATTGTCATCCGACCCCAGGGAACCGCTCCAACCCCCTTCCTACACTTGGATCCCATCGTGCCCTCACCACCTGTCCTTTCCTCAGCGTGAGCACGGGTGAGACAGTGCAGCCACGTGCTCCGTAGCGATGTTTCGGGGACCATGGGCTGCATGTACGATGCCGGCCCGTGGGATTACATGGCAGCCCAGGTGTGTAAGAGGCCACAGCATCCGGGTCTGAGCAAGTTCACTGATGTTCGCGCAGTGACAGTCACCTGACGGTGCGTTTCCAGGAGCATGTCCCATCTTCAGTGACGCGTGACTGTACGTGGACAGCCCTTGGAACAGGGCCTGGCGTGTCATAAACCTGGAGTGAGTGAAGGCTGCGTTTATTGGGTTTTGTTTTAACGTAATGAAACAATCCTGGGGTTGAATTCCAGCCCCACCCACTGACTGGCTGTGTGTCTTTGGGCGAGACATTTACCCTCTCAGCCTCAGTTTCTGTATCTGGAAAATGGCCAAGTAACACCTAGGTGAGAGATTCTGTTGGCTAGGCGGGCTGTCGGACAAACAGATGCCAAGACTGCAATGAAAGTTGTGCTTAGCACAATGAAAGTGTGTTTCTTGGGGCCAGACGGCGGCACACTGGTAAAATACAATGCTCTATGAGGCTGACCCACCTGGGAGCATTCTGGGTTCAAGTCTGGCGACCGCCCTGACTACTCTGGACATGCAGTTGCCCGTGATCTGGGGCTGGCGTAAGCCGGACATGGATGGTGGCATCAAGACCCTGATGGAGGTGCGGTCTCTGTCTCTGTCACTCGTAAAGAAATACATAAATCTTAGGGGGAAAAACAGTTTGTTTTTTATGCTCGCGAGAGCTGAGACTGGTGCTGACTGCAGCCTGGCCCTGAAGGGACAGCGACTGTCTTGCGGGGACAGCAGGAGCAGCAGCATTTGCACAGCACTTGACAGTCAGTGTGAGAGGGGCTGGTAGTCCCTCCTGCTTTCGTCTCTCTACGCTTTCATGCTCAGGCCTGGAATGGGGCCCTGGTCACCACCACCTGTATTGTTATGCAGTGGCCTGGGCTGGGACTCCTGGAGGGCAGGCAGGGCTGGATCCATCCATGTACCTTCCTCACCACCCACGGACAGGCCCAGGGTGGGTCTGGTGTGAGTGCCAAACCAATGAAGACGGCCACCCTCTGACCACCTGTCTTCCTTGCCTTTCACAGATGGGAGGAGGAGCTCGCCAAACGCATGAACCTTCAGGCCATGGTGGACACACTTCAGGAGGTAAGAACCCTCAGAAGTCCTGACCAGGAGAAGGACAGGGTCAGCGTGGGGTCCTGGGCCCAGACTTCAGGTTGCAAAGGCAGGAGATGTGTCCCAGCATAGTCCCTGCTCTTCATTCCCTCCTGCTGCCTCCGTCGCTCCTCCATGGAGCCAAGAGGCCTCTTGCACTTCCTCTGCTTCAGAGCTAGGAAGGGGCCTGCACAGGGTTGCAGAAAGGCTCAGCTACATGGATTGGGAAGCCTGGGTCTGAGTCAGGGCTGGCCGCAGTTTGCCTGATGACCTAGGGCTGGTGACTTCCCTCTGCAGACTCTATCTCCCCACCTGAGCTTGGACTAGGTGGGTTCTGAGCCCCCTGCCCACAGCGGCAGTGCCCTGAGTCGGGGGGGCAGGGAGCAAGTACCATGTTGCCATGGGGGCTTCCCAGCAGGCTGCCCAGGGTGGACGTGGAGGGTATTCCCCTTGCTGCTCTGGCTGGTGGCTCTGCATTCTGGGCTCCGTCCCAGCCACCTGTGGTGTATCCTGAGTAGTAGACTTCACCTTGTCACTTTCTATTTCCCCCTCCATCAAATGAGAATGAGAGCAGCGACGCCATGAGAAAGCATAAAAAGTTCTTGCCAAAATTTAAAAAAAAAAATTGCCTTCTGATATTTAAAGTATTTATCTTTTAAGATAGTTAAGAGACAGATAAAAATAACTGCCAATGGGTCGGAGGAAAAGAATGAAGTTTCCCCCTTTATTTTATAACAAAAATGGGGCCAGCAGGTGGCATAGTGGTTAAGGCGCTGGACTCCCACATGAGTGACCACAGTTTGAGTCCTGGACCCTATGGCTCAAAACTTATACCAGCCGCATATGCGTGCGTGCCCAAAATTCCGAGAGGAGAACGGAGGAGAAGGGATTATGGTGTGGCCATCCCCTGGGGGTGATTTCTTTCTTTCTGTCTCTCTGGTGAGTGCACGTACCCTATAACAAAAATCTCTCTCTCAAAAAAATTATAACAAAAGTATTTTATCTTTGTAAATATAATGTGTGTATGGACAAATATTTGGAAAACTCAGAAAAGCACACAAAAGAAAACAGAAATGCCCTCCCTCCCCAGTTGTAAATCGGTGTGCAACGTTAGTCTTTTCTGTGCAAAAACACACCCAGTGCTCTGGAGGCAGGTGTGGAGTTGACACACGCGCTGCGATGCTGTTGACACATGCTTCTGAGACCAGAGGTGCTCCGATCTCAGCAAGTTCCCATGGATTGACCAGTATTTTAAGGCATTGGAACCGCTTATTACGTTAGTCTGTTCTTTTCCTCTTAATATTTGCCATGGATTTTTCCAGGCAATACATAATCCTTTGACAAGTGTCCTATGCAGTCAGCCCTCAGTGGGGAGCCAGGCCGGGAGGAAGGCCTTGGCACCCAGTCCCTGGCATGCAGGCTCCCAGCCTGGTTGGACGTCACGTGAGCAGGGCGCTGACCCAGGCGTCAGTGCCTCCTGCCCTTCAGGGTGCCCATCTCCTCTAAGGCCTCCCGTCTCGGTCCCTGCAGGCAGCACAAGAGGCCGATGCCATCCAGGAGGAGATGAACGAGAAGATCGAGCGGCTCAAGGCTGAGCTGGTGGTGTTTAAGGGGCTCATGAGTGACGTAAGTGCCATAGGCGCCACCCCCAGACGTCATGACCTACCCCCACGCCCATCATGCAGAATGCTTCATTCACTCCGAGGCTCCGGAGCTCGGCTTCTAGTTAGAGTCCTGGCTGGCCGCATTTGACCATGAGGATGACGTATGCATCGGAGACCAGGCGCCCTGCCCCCGCCCGTCCCCTTGTCCGCTTCCTTGGTCTGAGTAGAGATGCATTAATCTGCTGCTTAACCCATCCTGCCCTCCCGGGGCTCCTCTGATGGTCTGTGTGTGTTCGCTCCTCCGACTCCTTCCCAGCTCGCCGCAACGGGGTCGGGCGTCATGTCTGGGCACAATGGGTGACTGGCAGGTTGTGGTCTAGGCGGCATGGTCTGTGCTGGCCTGAGAAGCCCCCCAGGCCCAGTGGCTATCAGTGGGGTCACTTGTAAGGCCAGGGCCCACGTGTGTCTTTTTGAGCATCCTGGTCCTTCTGAGTAACCATGGGTGCAGGGAGCTGTTGGCAGCAAAGGCCTCTTTGCTACTGAGAACCTGGCTTTCCTGCTACCTACAAGCGGGCTTGTAGAGAGAGCCCGCCAAGAAGAAGCAGCAGCCCGAGTGCGGGTAACAGTCTGGCGTGGCTCCTGGGGCTGAGGGATGTGAGACCGGGTGTGGATGGAAGAAGCCTCCGGGACCCCAGACGGAGCCCACCTGGCTTCTTCACCTGGATCCAGGGTGACACCCCTGTCAGCCGTGGGAGGGATCCAGGACCTAGGCTGCTCAGCACGCCCTGCTGCACGGGCACAGGCAGGTGTGGGTGGGAGAGGGGCGCCTTTCCACAGAGGGAGTTATCGTTCTTTTATCTCTGCTCTAACAAAACAAACACCGGCTTTGTGTCTGCTGAGAAGACGTCTTCCAGCTCTTAGGGGACCAGAACACACGGCCTCACACTGGTCTCACACTGCCCATCGGGCGGACGCTGAAGCCCTCGCCCCCAAGGCTCCCCACACCCTTTCTCCACCCTGAGCAGCACCAACCCAACCCTCCATACCCAGCAAAACTCTAGGCTCCCTCAGCTCGGGGCCTGCTCTATGCGACACCTAGGGGTCTCCCCTTCTCCTCTCAGCCCCTCATGCTTGCTCCATCCCTCGCTCACGTAACCCCTGCTGTCCTCCCTGCAGCCCATGACAGACCTGGACACAAAGATCCAAGAAAAGGCCATGAAGGTGGACATGGACATCTGCCGCCGAATCGATATCACGGCCAAGCTGTGCGATGTCGCACAGCAGCGGAACTCGGAAGACGTGTCCAAGATCTTCCAGGTGACTAGGGCTGCCCTGCTCACCAGCGCCACCCACCCTCCCAGCGCAGTCCTGGCCTCCAGCCACGCCTGGCCACCCCCTGTTCCCTCGATGTCCCACTCACTCCCTTTCCCCAAGAGGTAGCATTTTCCAGGCCTCTGGCTTCCCCGAGAAGATGTAGTATCTGCGACTCACAGGCCTGGCTGACTTCGCCGTCAATACCAACTGCTTCGTCCTGTGGCCGGGAGACAGGCCCGGGGTAGGGGATGATGTGCTCAAGGGAGGACGTGGCGGAGCTGGGCTGGATCTCAGGGCTCACATGGTGCCCACTGCCCTGCTTCCTGCCTCTTCCTCTGGGTGCCAGACTGGGCATTGTCCCCAGGCTCTGGGGACAACTGGGGACGCTGGCCTGAGCCTTGGCAGATGGGCCTCAGAACTCAGAGAGGAGCTGTTGGTCTTTGACTGTTTTTCAACCCCCCCCCATCTCATGTGCAAACGTGGGTGCCCTGAGAGGCCGTCAGGGTAGCGCTGGCGAGGCTGTCCCGGAGCGGCTCAGGGCCATCCAGCTGACTGAGGGCACGTGTCTTTCTCCGAGGGCTACTTCTTGAGTTTGGGGTTGTGGTTTGGCTTTTGCTTGAGCCCAGGGCAGTTTGGTGTGTCGTTGCTTTATGTGTGTGACTTCGGACGTAGCTGTGTGAGATGTGGCCTCACAGGGCCACCTCATGCCTTCCCGCTGGCGTCTGCTGGGAACCAGGGAGACCAAAGCAGCCTCTGTTTGCTCAGGCGTTGTCTGCGTGGAGTGGGAGCTTGGGGAACCTTGGGCCTCTGCATGTGGCAGGAGGGCTCTGGGAAGCATGGAACCCTCTGGACGTTGTGTGTGGTCTCTGTCTCTCTGGCTTGCTCTGAGACATCCCAGGTGCCTCTGTGCCCCAGTGCAGCACACTCCTTTCCCTAAACCATGGTGTTGCTTCTCTGGTGAAGGGGCGAGTGGAGCTGGGCCAACCTCTGGGCCTCCCAGGCAGGGAAGGATCCAAGCCATCTGTGTCCTCCGCCCTGCATGTCTCCGCCTCACGCTGCCTGCTAACGCCGCCTGCTTCCTAGACAACCTGCACATCTTTCCCGGCAGTGGCTGGCCCCAGCCACACTCCATCACCCTATGGGATGCCGGCTTTCTTCCCGACCCACCCCTCCCTCCATTCCAGCTGAGCCCCTCCCAGTTACCTTGATCTCTTCCTTTCTTGTTCAGGTGGTCCCCAAAAAGAAGGAGCGGAAGGTGGCTTCAGACGATGACATCTCCGAGCAGGACGGGGAGGCCAACCGGTTCTCAGATGATGAAGTTGGCTCCATGAACATCACAGACGAGATGAAACGCATGTTTAACCAGCTGTGAGTACGCCCCTGTCCCGTGCCTGGCGTGCCTATTTCCCCACTCACAATGGCAGGGGTGGCCGATGGGTGGCTAGGGTGTGAGCAGCCCGCAGGTGTTTAGTTTGGCCAGCACGTGGGTCTGGAAGAATCTGGATTCATTCTCAACATGTGTCATTTAGGGAGTTTCGTATTTCCAGCTTCCCTTGGAAGACTGAGAAGGCCGGGTGTCATCGGGCCAGTGTCAAGTGGGCAGGGCTGGGTAGGGGCTCCCACATGTGGGTGCGGCTGTGCAGTGTGCTCCCACCCTTTATGCCTCGGCCCACCTTTGTCTCACCTTGCCTCACCCCCAAAAAGTGGTGGGAGGGAGGAATTGCTTTAGCTGGGGAGGGGGCTCTCCTAGCCCATGAGACGAGGGGCTGTGTCTGACGCCCTCGTGAAGCCAGCAAGGGCAGGGGTGGTCCCACCTGTGGGCCAGCCTTCCTCAGGCCTCAGACCCACTCCTCTGGACTTCCTTTGGTGGATGGCCATGTGGATCCACTCAGGGGTTGTAGAAAGAGCCCCTGACATTCACTGAGCCCCCTTCGTGCACAGGGCCCTTCACGAACATCCCTCTCCTGGCCCCAGTCAGCCTAGCAGGGAGGGTGATATTCCTCTTTATAGATGAGGAAACCGAGACTGTGAGGAGGAGTGATATGGTCAGACCAACCGAGACTGCGAGGAGGAGCGATGTGGTCAGACCACTCAGATAATATGTGGACTCAGACTCAGGCCCAGCCTTCCCTGTAGTGTGTGTCTTCTGAGGAGCACCCGGGGCAGTGGGCTGGGTGCAGTCGGTGGGCCAGGGCTAGCTAGGACCGGATCCTGGGAGCTAACTGGGTACCTGACTGCCACTCCAGGTGGAGTGATGTCACACTCACGCCTTAGAATTCACCAGGGTAGGAGATGAGCCTCCCCTTTGCAGAGAGCGGAATTACCAGGCTCACTGGGTGTTGCTGGCAGGGATGGTGGTGTGGCCCTGGGCTGCTGACCACCATACTCACAATCAGTTGACTACGTGGGAGTCCAGTGACATAACCATTACACCATCTTCTGGTCCTTGCCCGGTCTGAGTTTCAAACTACCTGGTCTGGGACATGAACCGAAGTCACCCATATGGGAGTCCAGTGCCTTAACTACTATGCCACCTGCTGGCCCTAATCTAATTTTTAAGCCTAAAACAGATTCATTTGCTCCAGAGATTGTAGGCTGAGATCATTTGGTTGAATTAAAGGACTTCGCTGAAGAAATTAATGTCCCCTGGGACTAGCAGTTGGCATAATGACTATGTCACTGGACTCCAATGCAGTCGACCATGATTTGAGTCCTGGACCCGGTGGCTTAAACTCACACCAGGCGCATGTGTGTGTGTGCCCAGGATCCCGAGAGGAGAATGGAGAAGGGATTGCGGCGTGGCCAATCCCTTGCATTTCTTGCTTTCTGTCTTTCTCTGTCTTTCTGGAGAGTACACGTGCTCCATAGCAAAAACCTCTCATGGAAAAAAAAAAGAAATTGATGTCCCTATCTTCATAAAGCCCACAGGGAGTGGTTAAGCTGACCAGGAATGGGGTGAGCACAGAGCCCACCCAGGGGGTGCCATTAGCAAAAGCCCCTGGGTGTGGAGACAGCGCTCAGATCAAAGCCTCACAGGAACAGATGCTGAGGAGATGGCGCCTGAGTCTTGACAGATCAGAGATGGACTCAGTAATTCGATGTATAGAGTTGTAAAGTAGCCCAAGTTTAAAAAAATCACTGGGAACCAGCAGTTAGCGTAATGGCTATGTCACTGGACTCCCATGTAGTCGACCGCGGTTCGCATCTCAGACCCGGTGGCTTAAAACTCATACCTGGCGCGTGTGTGTGCATGCCCAAGATCCCGAGAGGAGAATGGAGGAGAAGGGATTGTGGCATGGCCATCCCCTCTGGGGGGTGATTTCTCGCTTTCTGTCTCTCTGTCTCTGTCTGTCTGGCGAGCGCACGCGCCCTATAGTGAAAAAAACTCTCAAAAAAACCAAAGTCACTTTGATCACTTTGATTACCCTCCTCCCCCACCCTGCAGTTCTAGGCAAGCCATACTGGCCTCTCCCGCTAACTAGCTGTGGGCCCAGACCCAAACCAGAAGCTGCCCCCAGCTAGTTCTAAAGAAGTCTTCGAATAATGCACCCCTCACGGCTGCTTTGTTTTGATCCAAATCTGCTGCTTGGGCTTTGGGCCAAGAGGAGGAGGGCTTGCTGCTTTCTCTGCACCTCTGGGCCAGCCCTCCTCCCCAGCCCCAGCCAGGGGGTGAGGAGCTTCTTCCAAGCCCCTTCCCTGGCCCATCTTCCTGTCTTTTCTGGCTCTCTGTCCCTCAGCTGAGATTTCCTTCAGGTCCCAGGTGCTGGGAAGGAAGTGAAATCAGGAGTTCCATGTGACGGGGTGATGGTGCCTGGTGGACCACAGGGACTCCTGGTAGAGCCTCCCTCTCCAGCCCCGCCCCTCCAGCTCTGGTCCCTGGACTCAGGGAGCCACCTATAGGCTCTGGCAGAAACTGTCTTACCCCAGAGGTGATCTAGGCAGCCTTGTGTCAGACATTTCTCCTGGGCCCTGCCTGGGTGGGGGTGTGCAGCCCATTGTTGGGTGGTTGGGAGCAGTGCCCTGAGGACTAAGGAAGGAGTGGAGGGAGGGGGTGTAGGCTTCAGGGACACCCTGGAATGAGCCTCTGGAGATGGATCCATACCCTCCTGTGCTGCAGGTTCACTGAATCAAGTGATTTAACTCCTACAGACCTGGTCCCCCCACTGAATATCGGGTGTATTGAATGCAACGGTGTTTAAGGCCCTTTCCAGTTGGGGTGACCAGTGCATCTTGAGAAACTCACTGTCCCAGACAAAGTTGGATGGTTGCTCTCCCTAGTTCTAGTGCTAGCCAGTAGGGAGGCCCTGAAATCACCTGGGCTTTGAAATCTCTTTCAAATGCAAATCCCAGCATGTTTCAGCCCAGAAGGATACCTAAGGCCTCAAAGCCTGTTTTCTCACCTGTGCACTGGGAATCATTCTGCTTACCTGTTTCGAAGGTGGGAGGGGTTGCATTGTCATGTAGGCTTAGTGGCCGACCCACTGTCCAGTGCACAGTGGGTGCTCGGTGATTTTATGGGGACTAAAAAGCTGAAGGAAACAGAAAGATCTGGCTTCCAGCCCACTTTCCGCTACGTGTTGGCTGTGTGCTTTAGACAAGTGGATTGTTCTTTCTGAGCTGCAGTGTCCTATCCAGCTGGGAACAATGACAACTGTCCTGAGTTGCAGACGAGGTGATGTGAGTCATCTCACTTACAGCAGCTCAAGCACCCGTGGTGGTGCGGTTAAGCAGCTGGATCCTGCATGGCCAGCTGCGCAGTTTGAGTCCAAGACCTGGTGACTTGAGAGATACACTGGGTGTATGTCCATACATGCCCAAAATCCCGAGAGAAGGGGCTGTGGCATGGCCATCCTCCCTGGGAGGCGACGGCCTCACTTTCTCTCATTGTATCTCTTCAGCAAGCACATAAGCCCTATAGCAAAAGCCTAAAAAAAAAGAAGAAGAGAGAAAGGTTGAGGCTCAAGAAATAGTTGTAAGTGAATGGAAAAAAAAAAATCACAGGATTGGATTAGGAGGGAAGTATCTTTAGTTTCCATTACTTAGTCTGGCATCTTTTTTTTTTTTTTCTTGGAGAGGTTTTCGCTATAGGGCGCGTGTGCTCGCCAGACAGACAGAGAGAGACAGAGAGACAGAAAGCAAGAAATCACCCCCCAGAGGAGATGGTCACGCTGCAATCCCTTCTCCTCCATTCTCCTCTTGGGATCCTGGGCACGCACGCACATGCGCCCAGTGTGAGTTTTAAGCCACCAGGTCCGGGACGCAAACCGCAGTCGATTACGTGGGAGTCCAGTGACATAGCCATTAGTCAAACTGCTGGTCCCAATCCTTAGTCTGGCATCTCTAAAAGTGTATACACTTCCAGTTGTCGAGATGATCCATAAATATGTTCTGCGTTTTGGGATCAAGCAAATGGCCCCCTCAGACCACTCCTGTCTTTCTGAGGGCAGCTTGCGGGTGTGTACTCACTGGGGCAGCTTCCCCTTCCTGTTCCCTGTGTGGCCCCGGAGCCTGGCTTCACTCAGTCATGCCGCTGGTGTCTTCTCTAGGAGGGAGACCTTTGACTTTGACGATGACTGTGACAGCCTGACGTGGGAAGAGAATGAAGACACCCGGCTGCTCTGGGAGGATTTCACCAACTGCAACCCCACCATTGACCTACAGGGCGAGGTGAGCCCAGGGCCTGGCCCCCATGGCTGAGGTGCCAGCCTGTGGCATCTCCTGTAAAGCATCTCACATGTCTGGCCTTTCCCTGTAACCCCTGATACCCCCCTAAATTGTCCCTTTGTTGTTTCTCTAGCAAGAGGAAAACTTGGGCAACTTGATCCACGAGACCGAATCCTTCTTTAAGACGAGAGACAAGGAGTACCAGGAAACAATAGGCCAGATCGAGGTGAGGCTCGCCAAGGGCCTGTGGTGATCGAGTACCCTTACGGGCAGGGCCTGGTAGACTGCAGAGAGCCTAGAACCGGGAGTTAGGAGGCTACCGATCCCTTTCTGGTGCTGGGCAAGTGACACCCCTTTTAGGGCCTCAGCTTCCTAATCTGTAAATTGGGCATGATGAGCCCTGCCTGCCCCCAGGTGTTTTTATTTTTTAATTATTCGGTGGGGATAATGACCCTGTAATGACCAGAGCTGACATCTAATTGATACCGAGTAACTACAGGCACTGAGTACACCCTTCCCGTGTCCTTCCCTCTCCCCCCGTGCAGTAGAAACTGCGCTCACATTTTAGAGGGGAAGACCAGGCTAGGAGAGACCAAATGAGTTGCACAAGGCCTCATGGTCAGAAAGGCCACTCAAGCCATTTCTCTCTGGCTCCAGAGGCTGCGCCCTCAACCACATCTATAAATGAGAGTTATTGCTCCTGTCGGGCTGAGGAGAAGCCCAGCCTCGTCCTTGGGGGAAGTATCTTTGGGTAGAGGAGATGAGCCAGAAATGTGAGGTTCTGTAGACATGTGCATATGCAGGAGCTAGACAGGCTGCCCTGGTGGAGTGCCCGGAACTGGGTGGGGCTTAGCAGGGCTGGCTGCCTCCGGGTTGCAGTTGGTCCCCTTTGATCTCCGCGGTTCTAAAGGGCACAGGCCGGTGTGCAGAGAGCAGAGGGCCAGGGAGGCGGAGGTCTGTGAGGCAGGGGCCTGAGGGCACAGTGTCTGGTGCCAGCGCTGAGGAAGCGAGGAGGGTGGTGGCTGAGGACGACTCGCCCTCACCCTTACTCCCTGTTGCTTTCCTCTAGCTGGAGCTGGCCACAGCCAAGAGCGACATGAACCGGCACCTGCACGAGTACATGGAGATGTGCAGCATGAAGCGCGGCCTGGATGTGCAGATGGAGACCTGCCGCCGCCTCATCAAGGGCTCTGCAGACAGGTACCGCTGCCCTCCTGCAGACGCGGCCCTGCAGTGTTCAGGGGGCTTTCTGGGGCTGCGGCTTACAGTGTGGCCATCTTCCCAGCCTGTCTCTCTGTCCATCCATCCATCCATCCACGCGGCCGATGAGTATCGGTGTACCTACTGCATGCTAGGTGACTTCCACACCTGATCTTGTGGAACTCCCACGACAGACGTGGGGAGTGCCTGGCACAAAGCACGAATAGATATCAAGCGTAATTGTTTCTTGCTTGACTGTACAGTACTACTAACACGAGGAGAGAGAGCTCTGTGGGAAGCAGCAGGGGGACCTCGGTGTAGTCTCTCACACTCATGGAATCTTCCAGAACCCCTGTCATCCCTGCTGCTCAGTTGCCTAGGCAGGCACTTCAGCAGGTTAGACAGCTTGCCCGAAGCTCCAGCTCACCCTTGGCAGAGCCAGAGTTCCATTACGGTGCTGTCTGCCCTTGTCCTGCCTGACCTCCCTGAGAGTGGGAGTCAGTTGGCGTTTTCTGGGCTTATGTGCCCAGACCTGTGTTAGGTGACTATGGAGTAAGAGCCAAGCTTGCTCCGTGCTTCTTGCTCCTGAGGGGCTTTCAGACTAGCGAAGCCAACGTACCCAGACTGGTTAGGGGCCGGTGCAGGATGTCCCCAGAGGGCTTGGGTGCCACATTCGTCTGTGCAGCTTAAAGGACTCTAAGGAAAGTGGGCCAGGGCAGTGACTCGGGGAAGGGCCCATGGAGGGCTGGTGTTATAGGAGTGGTTGCTTCGCCCCCAACCCTGCCCCCTCTGAACTTCCCACTGTTGGTGCGTTGCAGGAATTCGCCGTCCCCCAGCTCCATGGCCAGCAGCGACTCAGGAAGCACAGACGAGATCCAGGACGAGTTCGAGCGGGAGGCGGATGTGGAGCCTATGGTCAGCTGATGACGGAGGCCATGTGCCTGCTGGTCTTGGCGATGGGGCCCCTGCCTCCTCTCTCGACAGGGCCAGGAAGGCGCCCGGAGTGGGGTTCCCGTCTGCACCACACAGACTTCCTATGTCCTCCCTTCTCTGGAGGCCCCAAGGGACCGCTGCTTCCTTCCTTCCCACCACCCCACCACCAACCAGTGCGCCCTCTCACCCACCCACCCACCCACGGAATGGTGCTGTCAATTTCTATTGTTCTCCACGTTACAAATGCAGACTTCTGTGCGGACGATGCAGTGTTAACTGTGCCTTCTCCCTTAAGCTGAGCCACTTTGAGCTCCAAAGAATTATTCCTAGCAGGTGTTTTTATACAAAACTCTGAGGTGAGGGCGGTGGCCCTGGGCGTGGTATATGTGGTTTTCTACCCTCCCACCTGCTCCTCTGATTGGCTATGAGCTATGCCCTCCCTTCCTCTGTGGCCAGCGTGACTGTCCTGGGACAGGGATGGTCTTTCTCCCCACCAGGAAGCAGTCCTTTGCCTCCACAGCCTTTCCATGCTGGGTGGGGACCTCCCAGATTTTCTCATACACTAAATGAGAAGAAGGTGGAAGGAAGGGAGGGAAGACAAATTTTTATTTTCATTTTGGGTCGAGTGGTAAAGTGGAGGGACAAGGCACGGTGGGGGGAAGGTGGAGTCTCACTGTGTTTAAACTACTATGCAAAAAACACAAAACAAAACAAAACAAAACAAACAAAAGCAGCTTGCCTTATATCACTGGGAAAGGTGGGCCCTCTCCCAGACTCCTGGTATACCCCCGGAGCTGGGCAAGAGGCTGAGGTTAGGGTGGTCTCTCTTGGCCTCCAAAGATGAGCACTGACTGGAGTGGGGAGTTTGGTCAAGGTGGGTAGAGAGGTCTGGGCTCCTGCAAGGCCCCGGCCCACCTGACTGCTTGCTTGCTTTGGGGCCTCTTGGCTTTTGGATGGGGGGATGGGGCCCTTTTTACCCTGATGACTTGAGGTATTTCCCTCCCTTTGTAACCAACAAGAAGGAGTTATAGATCTGAAATTTCTCTATGAGAAACTCTGAAGGGGCCAGGCCTGGTGTCTGCTCCGTTCTACCGAGGACCTCGGGTTGGTACCAACCTGCCGCCATCTTGGTTCTCCATTGCCCTTCCCTGCCCATCTGGCCACTGGCAGGATGGGACATTGGAAAGGGAAGGGCAGGAAGGCAGAGAGGGCTGCTGGCAGGTCAGAGCTGGCTTGGGTAGGAGCTTGAGAGAGGACCATTTTTGCTCTGCTCATGGACGTACGCAAGCCTCGTTCCATAATTCACTTGACTGACCAAGTGGGGAGTTAACCTGAGCCAGTATCTCCCCCAAGACTTGAGTAGGCCTGAATTGAAGGGCCCCAATTGAGACCACGCATCAGTTCTCAGCTTGGAGCCAGCCTTGCAAGCTTTGCCTTTTTTTTAAAACTTCTTTTTTATATCCACTCCTGTGGGTGCGATGGCTGATTTTGGGTTTTGTTGGCCCAGCAGTTCCCTCTGGAGGTCAAAGGAGCGAAAATGTGTGTGCCCGAGGACCAGAACTCACTACCCACTGCCTATGTCTAGAGGCAGATGAGGGGGCTCTGGGTTTGAGTGGGTTCGTGGCCCCTGGCTGTCCTCCCCAGGGTGCCATCGACCTCTAAGGCCTTCTCTGTCTGTTCCCCTCAGCGTTTTACAGTCTTAAAACCGTTGTACATAATATTCGTATATATGTATAGAGAGAACGAGAATGTGTTAGTGACTGTGTACTGTAATTTATCAGAACCTGGTAGCTCTGTCCTCTGTTTTGTCTTGCTTTATTTTGTTGGGGAACATGTCACTGGCCTTCTGCAGCAGCCTTGCTACAAGGCTTCCATCGTCAGCACCTCTTGCTAGCCAAGCAGTCCTTTCGGGCAGGTACTTAGAGGGACAGTGGTTTTGGGAGAGAGACAGCCCTTTCCTCTTCTCCTCACTGACCCTTGTTCTAAAGGTTACAGGGTTCAAACATATCTGATTATCGTTGTGTTGTTGTCTTTGTTGTTTTATTTTTATTTTAACCAAAGGCTATCAGAGCCAGTTGGGCTTGGACCTCAGCTGCTGAAAAGATTTTCCGTTTCCATGAGGGCAGGAGGATGGCTGCCCCGTGGGTCTCCTCTGTCTGTCCAGGATGGAGGGAGGCATCAGAGGGCATGGTTTGGGAGTTGGGTGGACAGAATGGAAGCCAGCCTTGGGGCGTTCCTCAAGGCGGCTGGAGGGTGGCCGGTATATCTTAGTCTTCAGTGTAAGTATTTGAGGGTAACTAAGGTTACCGTGGCGATTGGTATCTGCTGGTATTATTTTCGCTTTCCCCTTGTGTACATAGGTCACAGGTCATTGGTCTTTGGGGACTAGGGTGCTCTGAATTGATCTAGAGAGGATGAATATGGCCAGAGCCAGAAAGAGAAACTGACCTGAGAGTCCCTTCCTGCTGCCTTTCAATATCTGCTCTCCTCTTGGGAGCGAGGATTTGGGGGCAGGGGCATGGGGGAGGAAGAGCAGGGGTGGGGTTGCCCTGCCTCCTGGGCTGGTTTCTGGGTCTTGGCTGCCTCCCTCCCACTGAGTTCTTCTCTAAGGAAGTTGCCAGTGGGCCCTGCTTGTCCCTTGCCACGAGCCCACAGCTTGCCAAGAAAGACCCCACGCTCGCTGGGGCAGCACCAGGCCCAGGTGGGACACACTGGCCCGTCCTTTGTAAAGCTGTAAATACTTCATTTTGGTTTTCTATTTCTAAGTCCAGTGTCATATTGACATTGGTATTTTAGAATCGTTCTCTGTGCTGCCCTCTCTCCTTCTCCTGTCCTGGGGGTTTTATATAAATACAGGATGGAGGGCAAGGAGAGTAGCACCCTTTTGGCTCCCTGGTTGGTTGTGAAGTACACACACACACACACACACACACACACACTCCTCTGAGATTCTGAGCAGGGAAAACGACTATGGGTGGGCAGACACGCTTTACTAGCTCGTGGCAGGATGTCCTGAGGTCCTGAAGGCCCAGGCTGTTACGATCCTAGCTGTGAGTAGAGCCCGGGCAGCCTATGGAGGGTCCAACCACTCTGGCTTGGGATGAGAGGAGAGGGGGCGGGGCAGGGGCTAATATAAGGTGTAACTTAAGCTAAATGTAATCTATTTATAAAGCAAGAGACTCTCATCTATTTTTATGAAAGGAAGGGTTTTTTAATCTAGGGTAGGCAGTTACGGTAGCCCAGCGATTTTCTGTGGACAAAGTATCGTGCATGTTGCTGCTGGATTTAATATACTCAGCACCCCTCCCCTGGTCTTGTCTTCCCGTTCTCACTCTGGTCACCCACACCCAAGAGCGCTTTGGCAGAGTGTAGGTCCCTCTTCTCCCCATGTCCCTCTCCCCTGACCCATCAGCTCCTCGGAAGTCTTTGGGAGCATGAGCACCTTGGGGGTGGGTTTTGGGGAACTGAGAGTTGAGGTGGGCGGAGGGAGGAGGGAAGGAGAGGAGGTAGACCCTGATCAGCTCTGACTCTGGCCTGCCAGGATCCACTTCCAACCCAGCTGCGTTGGAAGGGAGCTGAGCAGCAGAGGGCAGGTGGCAATGGGGCCGTGGGTTTGGGGAGTGCATGACTTCCACAGGGCCTGGGTCTCAGTGGGTCCTAGCTGGAGCAGGATCCTGCCCTGGCACGGCCTACTCCAGCCCAAGGACTAGGCTGTAGTCTTTCTGTGCCCTGAATAGAGGGACTAGGATGCTGGGGGTCTCCCCACACCCACATCCTCCCCTTTGAGACACTGTCCTAGAGTGGAGAGTCCAGAGGGATCTAAAATCTCTCACCACTCCCTCTTCCCCCTAAGCCCTCAAAGAAATGAGGCAAAACCTCCGGCACCCCTCCCCCACCCCCAGACCCCTTGTGGACATTTTGGCATCTACCTGATTTTTAACCCCATCCAGGGAGACTTCATACCCTGTGGTTCCGTCCTACTCCATGTTGCCGTTTGTCTGCCAGCTGGGTCTAGCATTACGGGAAGGGGGGGTTTATACTCACTGAGAGACTACTGATCCTACCGGAAAACCAACCTGTTTACTGTACTGTTGTAAATATCATGCCCTTTATATCATGTATATTGGCTTCTTTTAAATAAAGTGAAATGTCTTAGAATTGATGGTGCATTTTTTTTTTTTTTAAGTGTTGGGTGAGCAGGTGGCATGGTGGTTAAGGTGCTGGATTCCTACATGGCCAACCATGGTTTGATTCCCAGACCTGGTGACTTGAAAATCACACTGGAGGGACCCGGAGTTGGCGTAATAGCTGTGTCGCTGGACTCCCATGTAGTCGACTGCGGTTCGAGTTCCGGACCCGTGGTTTAAACTCATGCCAGGCATGTGTGCATGTGCCCAAGATCCCTAAAGGAAGGGGTTGCAACGTGGCCATTCCCCCAGGGGGTGATTTCTCACTTTCTATATCTCTGTCTCTGTCTTTATGGTGAGTACACACACCCTATAGCAAAAAACCTCTTCAAAAAAAAGAAAGAAAAGAAAGAAAGAAAATCACGCCGGGCACATGTGCGTGCATGCCCAAAATCCCAGGAGGAGAATGGAGAAGGGATTGCAGTGTGGCCATTCCCCCCTGGGGGTGGGGGTGATTTCTCACATTCCCTCTCACTACCCCTCTCTGTCTCTCCAGAGTGTACATGCACCCTATGGTAAAAACCTTAAAAAAAAGAAAGGAAGAAAATGAAAAGTCATGGGGGAAGGGACAAGAGGATTAAGGGACAGATAAACACAAAACTGTCCCATTAGTGATAAAACAGGGAACTTTCATATTTGCATCTCACAGTAGAACTGCCGAATGGAGTTATAGTAGGCATTATACACATATTTCAGAAGGGGCAGAAAGGGCTAGAGTAGGCCAAGTAACTGGCATAGCCTGGTTTAGGACTGAGGCCAGTCCTGGTAACCACAAAGCCCCTATTTCTCAGACCACTCCAAAGTACCCATGGGAGGTTACCTCCTGGCACTCTGGATTGATAATGTCTGAGTCCTCATTTCTTGTTGACAGCCACATTCAGGGAGACCATGCTCCATGTGAACGGAGTCCACCTGACTAGATTCTTCTCTAAGAGCGAAGAGGAGCCGTCACCAATTCCAGCAAGCTCTTGGTCAAATCTAAGACCTGTACTAGTGTAGTTCC